GTTAAGGGCAACAACAAAGGAAAAACAAAGAAAGTATCGTACAAATCCCAAAAAGGTCAGTTTGCCTTTTTCCTAAGCACAACCTGTTCCTCAAGCAGATTAGCAACCAAAAAGTGTTAAGCCTATTTATATAGTTAAAATGCTGCAAGTTTCTCTGCTCTGGATGATTTCGTTACTCTGTGACTGTCAATTTATCAGCAAATTAAATTGAGTTTGTTTTCTTATAAATGTAAAAACATTTTCCGACACTTTGCTGAAACATCAGATACACACGCGCACATATAAAAATTTGTCGTCTTAATGTTTTGATTAAGGTAATGACAAATTTTGGCCTTTCATACAAGTTTACAAAGCAACAAGAGTATATTCGTTTTATTTATTGAGAAATTTCAATACTTATGTGGCAAAGCGCGAAAATCAAAATCTTACACAGACTTACGGCTAAGTAACCAAAATATTCGAATGATTTCATGTAAAGATCAAATCTAAATCTTCCTAACAATTTAGCGGGTAATCTGTTTTAAGCTCTTATTTTACTGCGAACTAGTATACGCCATTGGCTGCACCCGACCGCAAAATTCTTACCTTATTACTTATTTTTATTGGGCTGGTTGTGAATGTGTCAAGAGTCAGTAATGGAGAAAAGGACATTTGTTCAGCTATGTGAATTTGTGTTCGTTTGATATGCTTGAGTAATATACCTTATCTGATAAAACTGATAAAAATTGTAGCCAACAAAATTGATATTTAAATTTAACCAAAAATGTATTATCTATTCATGATTGATTTAAAATGTAATATGGAACATTTTTGATACCAACAAAAATATATTAATAAATTAAAAAAAAAAGAATATATATATACGTAAAGTTGTTGTTAGAATACCCTTTAAATTTGTTGAGGAGATATTGGTTTTTGTTATTTGCCAAAACAGGTTTTTGTTTCACTATATCTGAGGCGGAAGTACATGATATAAACAAACGTCCAAACAGGTAGCTTCAATAGCGTGGAAAAAAACGTTCATACGAACAAACTGATAGGTGGGCAGGATGACGGACACAACACTAGACCAAAGTGAATCAGACTATAAGAACTTAATGTGTATAAGTTATTGCAACGACTCTTGCTGCAATAGATAAGGAAATGTTACAGATATCCAGGAACATGTACTTTTAAGCGTCAGCTTACTAGTTTCGATTTCAGCCTGGTCTGACACATTGACAAGAAGTACGAAAAGCAAATGTTGGCAATTTTCCGATAGCGTTAAATTAGACATCAACTTGGCAGGGAACATACAAGTCACACGCTCACACACAAGCACACTCACATACAGAGACACTGTCGGCGAGCATTGATAGCCGTGGAGCTTGACGCTTATCAGCGAACGCAGCAACAGCAACAACCTCAACAACGACAACTACAACATAGACAGCTACAACAACAGCCGCCATGTCGTTCAGCGCCTTGCAAAAACACAAAATGCAGCGTGCACAACATTTAGGAGGCGTGGTCGCCTACTGCACATGCTAAAGGCGCGCCAGACGTCACGTCTGCGCCATAACCACGCCCACCGCTCGTTTTGCCACACGCCTCGTTTGCATATCCAAGTGGCTTGCATTCATATGCCATTATCAGAGCCAAGGCATCGCCAACGCTTAAAACAAACAATGGGGCCCATTACTCAGCTCAAATGTATGACCAGAAGTCGTGTGTCTATGTTTACGACTATGAATGTGTGTGTGTGTGATTGTGTGAGTGTGAGTGTGTACTTGGTCATACAAATATATTACACTAGCTATATTATGCTCCTAGCCAATCTATTGCTGTGCGGCACAGATCTCGTTCAAGATGTTTAGCTTGAGGCAAATGGCTGCACGCACATCAAACGCGCGACCCACGCATATATTTATCTCTAACTTTTGCAAACACTTCGCATTTAATAATATATAGCCGACTAGATAAGTTGACTTTTTTGTAGTTATAATATAATAACCATTCACGCGTGCTTAATATGGCTTATAATATAAAACATAATTCAATTTATTTATTATGATCCTTTTTAAAAACTTTACATATAGATTAAATTTAAATTTGCCTGTGCATTTACTTTATAACATATCTATTAAAATTCTAAAATATTTAAAAAACTCAAAATTTGTCATTCCCTTTACTGTTGTCAGTGTAACTTATTTACCAAGCTTTACACCTGTTATTTGTCTAAGTGTAATTATTTATATACTGGCATACATATATGTATTCTTCTGAATCTCTCACCAAATGTATAGAACCCTCTATAAGTATATGTAGCTTTGGCACGCGTCACCGTCAAGGTCTGCGAATTGCTCACTGGAAGCTCAAATTAAATTTTGATCCAACCCGAAGATGGGCGAGGAGCTAAAAAGGGACGAACAGCAGCATCAGCAGGAATAAAACTTTTGCTGTTTTTATAAATGTTTATTTAGCAAAAGCAAAAAAACGGGAGAATATGAAACATAAAAAAGGGCGAAAGCCCAAAAGGTGAGCACAACAAGAACAATGAGCTGTCTTTTTTTTGTTCCTTCGTCCTAATGCCAAGGCCAACGGTTTTGGCCACTGCTTTTGGGATGCTTTTTGCCAGTTTGTTTCGCCTGTTTCGCTCCGTTTCGTCGATTTCGCTCTTTCAACAATAATTTTGCTACTTAAATGGATTTTTGTATTTGTGTATCAACGTTTTATTTGCTGACAGGTGTAAAATTGTTTTTGCAGTCATTTCAAATGGCTGCCTCCGTGCAATCTTTCGCCAATGCTTTTGGCGCCGCCATTTGGCCTGGATAATTGCCAAGCAGAAAGCAACAAAAGCGATTAGTTTAATAGTTGCCATTAATGTTGCTGCCTTGGCTATCGCAACAGTTCGCTAGCATGTGTATCTATAGCCACATTACGCATACGCCATATTGGTTATTGCTTGCATCAATCAAAGACAGACTTGCGCAACATTCGTATGGACACATTCATTTTCTATATACAGACAATAAATAATGTTTGGCTCTGTTTTCCGCGTGGCACAATTTCAGATATGCTGAATATTTTACACATTGCTGCAAGTCGAGTGCGTTGCCAGCTTTGCCGGCAACATCAGCAAGTCATCTCCTTGGCCTAGCACTTGCTTGGCATATGTGCAGTGCTGGCAATTTTTTCGTATTTGCTTTTGGCATGCACGTGCGATATTTTTCCATTTCCTATCAGAAATGTTTTGATAAATATGCACAACTTGAGTTTTGGAATGGCGAGTGTGAGAGAGTTTGGCGTATGTTGCTCAAATTGTATATATATTACTCGGCGCTGTTTGCGCAATTTGATTGCACAAAGTTGGTTTCGCCTTATGCACTTTCAGTGCAGACAGTCAGAAAAATTGTGAGAGATATTTGTTTGCCCAATGCCCATAATGAACAAATCAACAAGAAGAAGTGCACAATTTTGATTTGTTATTTCTTCGTTGACGTTCATCTATTTAGCATAAGTGCAGAGAATCCTTCAGAATGTCATTTGATGCATAAACCACGTTGATGTCCTGTTTGCACCATGACACAATTTTATTTATAGACTATAATAACGATATATACAATATATTAGTGTCGCTTAACGTTAATATGCATAGCCGCATGTAAAATTACATTAAATTTATGCATTAAGAAATCTGTATACTAATGAAAAAGGGATAGATCAGCTCCCAACAATCTTTATAAAAGCCAAAGCAATACATAATTTTGACTGAAATAATAAAATTAAATTAAATTCATTACTGATGGCCGGCGCGCGTCGCAAAAAAACAGCCAAAGAGTCAGCGCGGAAGCAGAGTGAAAGCAGTTGGGCCGAGTGTTTATTTAAAAAAAAATAAATTACATTTTAAAAGCATCATAATTCAACGAAAACATTGCCAAGGCAAAGAAGTGGAAGGCATCCAGCCAGGCGGATAGGCAGACTGGCAGCCAGGCAGTACTGCCAGCCAAGCCGCCGGGACGAAAGGCCGGAGGGGCAGGGCTTCTGCACCAGTGGAAATTCATTAAGCATGTTATAAATGCTGGAAATTTATAAGTAATTGTAAAGGTTTATGCGGTTTGCTATAGCTGGAACGTGTCTATCTTCACAAGGCGAAGCCAAGCCCAAAGGCATGCCACATAATTTATTTAAGGACCAAATAAAGCGTCCTTAGTCGCACTCAAACTGACTTTGGCCCTAAGCACAAAACGTTTAACGCAAATAATTGTGAACAAATATTTACAGAGTAGCTAACCAAAAACAAAATTCAGTCTGCGGTTAACACACAGCATTTGAAATAGTTTTGTAAGCTTTTCTTATTCTACTTCTTCTTCTTCTGCTTCTACTTTCATTTGAGTATAGATTTATACGAGCATATAGTATATTCAGGTCCTTTGCAACACAAGCTTCAAAGCAAAAAAAATCACTTTCATGCATTGCGGCTTTTAATTATACCAAAAGGGCTAAGTCAGCATAACGGAAATGCGAATCGAATGCTTAGGCCTATTCGTTGCCACAAACACAAATTAAATAGTTTATACGTATATGCCGTATGCCAATGAGTGTAGCATTGGTTTGCTCAATTTCAAACCAAATATCAATATTTACCCGCCAGACTCTGTTGCGGGAGAGCCACATTTCGGCTTAAGTGTTGTTACAGTTGAACTGTTATCAAACTATTTGCTTATTTATTGGTGTACATAAGCTTTGAGCAGGTGCGTGTGTGTGAGTGACTAATTTGTGTGGAAGTGTGTTATGGGTATGTGGCAGAGGTCATCGATTGATGCGTGTTCTGTTATGAGCTGCGGTTTTCATTAGGCAAATGCAGAGCACTAAATCTCTCAAGTTGTTATTAGAAATCTGTAACTCTAATTACTCTTTTCGTAAAATGTTTATGAAATGATTTAAGTAAGCTACGGTTTCATTCAAAACTTACTCAGACATATTTCATATTTTCATACGATTCGATTATTTTTATTCGAATAAATTAGAAATATTATAAGGATGGAAAAAAAATGTCAAACATTTTTTTTTAAGATTTTCTAACAGTTTCTAGACTGCGATTTCAATTTCTGCAAGTGAGTATGAGCCAGGCAGGTGATGAAATCTAAAATAGCCGGTCATTTCTTGGGAAATAAAAGGCATGTCAGTCAATGCCGCAAATAATTCACAAAGCGTTTGGCACAAATTAATGGCTTTACTTTTGAAACCTTTTATACACGCCAGCAAGCCAAAAAAAACAAAAGAAAAAAAAATTAAATAAAAAAATGCCCAGCCAAAGCAAAGCTCGTAAATTTGTTGGCCATAAAAATCAATATGTTAATGGGCAAAAGTTTGCTACAGTTGCTTGTGTGTATGTGCCTATGTGTGCGTGCCTGTGTGTCTGCATGTGGGTGTGTATAGATCTCTGTATGTGTGTGAAGAGTGACACTGCTGAAACATAAATCCTACTGTCAACAATGGCCAGCAGCATTGACATGCGACAATGGCGGCCACATAGTCGAAGGGCGATCAGGATGCAGAGGAAAGGGCATTGCTAGCGGCTGGATTGACCGAACCGCAGTGTTACATAAATACAATAAATACACACGGCGACATGTGAATATATACATATACCCGCAGATGTGAGCACTGCCAAACCTCATTAAACTGTTAAATCTTTTGACAGGGCCTGACGCTGCTGATGCTGATGGACAGATGACGAAAGGATTTCGAACAACCAATTGCAGAGAACCGGAGCGTCAGAGAGCCGTGGGGAGTGCGCATTTAAAATATGCAAGCGAACAAAAAATATATAAAATTAAAATTGCAATTAAGCGTGGGAAATATGCGCAAAGTGTTGAAATGCGAACTGACAGCTTCGAATTGAAACTATTGACCAAGCAAATACTCAGCGGCCCCTTTCTCATGCCACAATCGCCACCGTGAGCAAATATGCCAAGGATTTCTGTTAAATTTATGTAAAGATATGCGAAAACACGCCCCCTCAAAAGCCGCCCCTTCAACCTGACGCTCGTCGCTTTCAATTTGTGGAAGACACTCGTTGCGCTCACAGCTCTCGACTCGACTCGACTCAACTCAACTCGAATCAACTAAAATTGATTTATGGATATTTTTAGAGAAGAAACGGGCCCTGACTGGGTAAAAGTTTAAAGCGTGTTGCGTGTCAAGAGCAAATATCAAAAATCGACATTCGACATTCGGGGCGTGGTCGTAAAACCGCTCGAAAATTATAGCTTTCAGCTTTCGCGCGAATTGTAATAAATTTAGAAAACTTATATACACATCGCGAACCACTTGGCCATTTTTATAAAGTTTGCTCGCAATTGCAGCTTAACGCCCCATCCCACCAGTTGGTTGTCCCGCCCCCACAGTTGGGCAGCAAACGGGTTTCAACTAGCAAAGGTCGTTAACAGCTGGAAAGGCTTAGCCCGCCCGACGGAAAAAAGTTCGTAGGTGCCAACAAGCGTGGAATAGAGCGGCTAGAAAAATGGAAAACCGGCAAGGATGTGGCAGAAAGTGCTTGACCTCGACCATGGTACACACTGCAGCATTACACAAAAAAATGGTAACGTGAATATTTTGACTTTTAAATCGAAGTGGCGTGGTTCGTTATGGTAATGGAAAAAAGCTAGGTTTTCTAAGCCAAGCTCATATTAAATTGTTAGATGGAAGAACGCAGAGCATGTGTAAGTTACGAGATTATGATAGGTTTTATGAATGATCGAAGAGGATGGGCGAGCGCATTGTGAACAGATATTTTATCAATTTATAGTGATAGATATTTTATCAATTTATACCACACTGGCCATTTATAGAAATGACTAACATTTATCTGAAAATTTAATTTTAGTTGTCGGTTTTTCGGGCCCACCCATTTCGCCTTGTTGCATAGCCGCAGACAAAATAAGAATACCCTAATAATCTTCAATATACGGTAGGGCATCAACAACAACTTGCCTAAGTAGTAAGAAAGAACTTTCAGACGACTTAACACGCAATCCAAAAGGGGCTTAAAGGTTAAGCATTATAATTTCGAGTACCTTTTTTGCCCCTCCTGGCACTTGTTTTGGTTGCTATTATTATTTTCGGGCATATAATGTACATTTGTTTACAATTGAAAAAGTTAAAAATAGTTTTAAAACTTGGCCGGCGGCTGCTGCCTTATCCAATTGAATTTTTGTTATTTACCAATTAAAGCGTGCGAATGCAAAAATGTATCTAATTTTTGTTAGCCACCCACTCAACATGGAATGGGAACTAATTTATGGGCTTCCACCAAATATGTACATCTATTTTGCGATTGTATTGCTGGGTTATTTATTGTAAAATACCCGAGCACTCCAAGAACTGTTAGATCGATATGGCGCAATCAATGGGCAATGGTTGGGGCTGCGTGGTCGGATGGGTTGGGGAACTGATTGCGAACTGGTCGTATTTAATAATAATTTCTACATTTATTTATGCTGTTTGGCGTCGTTGTAATTGTTGTCAGGGCGGGATCGGGGCCAGCAGAAAAGCTCAAGCTGTCGCTTTGGATTTGTAAATTCCTGGGCTGCTAAATTGGGTAGCTGGTTGCATTGGGGCATTGGCGTGCCAAACAAAAATATTTAACACTTGTGCCATAAACTATTGTCAGATGGTCTAGATGGTCTAGGGGAGCTCTCGGCTGGCCAACTCAGCTTATTGTAGGTTGTGGTTATATGCTCCTGCCGCCTCAACGTTTTACGCGCATAAAATAAACCAATTTTATTTACAGTTGCCTGAATTTACGCCTGAATTGTTTGCTTATAGCAATAAAAATTGTCATTATTTGTGGAGAACAAATATAAAAAATACTTACTATCGCAGCTCGCAACAGCGAATACTGTTTGTCATTTTATTAATTTTTAATTTAATATCCTGAAAAACACACAACGTTTCCAATGAAATAAATATAGTTATTTCACCAAGTACAATTTTAATGTCCTGGCACATATATTTCAGTTTTGAGATATACACAAAATGGCATTTTTGTTTTTATAAACTGATTTTTTCATTAGATATGAATTATTTTAATTAAAACTTGTTTATTAAACGGACATATATGCTACACATGTTGCGACAAAATTATAAAACCTTTGGGCTTTGGATTCAATTGAAATATTGTTCTCAAATATTTTGGTTACCACTTTGTATGCAAATTGTGTTGTATTAGATCGGGACATTTAAGCTGACAGTATATATCTATATTCATATTTATTTTTATTTACACGTTCGTAAAATTTTTTTTCTGCCTATTACATGTACTCAACCGCCATATACCATACTTTACCCATTTTTAATAAGTATACAAATTCTTTTTAGGAATGTTTGTGTCTATGGAAACTTTATACTCTTTGCGCATTTGGCTGCGCAAAAAGCAAAGCAAGTTTTTTAATGACCGCGATAAGCAAACAGAGGATAAAACAAATATGCAGGTGTCAACAAGGCATAACCGACTGCGGAATACAGTTGAACACAGTGTAACCAAATAATAATGAAATTGGTAAGTGGAATCACTTTATTATATAAAGCCATTCGTTCACTTATCTAAGCCTCATCTAGACTATAAAATAATATAAGTCAAAGTGTAGAGTCTTGTTTAGCAGAGCTTTCTTTAAAGTGTCAAATCTAACTGAAATGAAAATTGCTTAATGATAGGACTGTATATACCAATGTTAGGAATCTCCTGCTACCTGTATAAAAATCCTTATATACTCTTTTTTACATTTTTAAGAGTGTATTTAAATAAATAAAATAATATAGAGTGAAATAAAGAAATAAGTGCAGCTTGATGATAATTACTGTACTGTTCGCTGTCATGAACGCAGCAGAAGTATATTTAAAGCGGTCAAGACAAAGCGGCGCACAATAGACTGAGAGGCAACAACAACAGGATGAGCTTGCCGAAGGATAATTAAGTCGCACCTTAGCATAAAAAGGTGTCGTTAGACGAGAAAAGCTTCAAAAGATGGGCGCCATAAGAGAGCAGGCCTAAAGCAACGGCTCAATACGCAATTCATTTTAAGTCACGTGGTCGGACTGTGGCCGCAAAATGGCTGCGATTCGCCCCTGTAAAGTACAGAAAATAACTAAAATCACAAGCAGAGAGATAATCTGTACAGCTGACGCATACGTTGCGCCGTAAGCAGGATGCAAACGGGGAACTTCTGTCTTTCTCTCTTTCGTTTTTTAAGGCTGTGCTTCTCTGCCCAAATTTATCACAGCCTCGCGAAAAGAATAGGTTCAAAATGATGCAAAGTCAACTTTTGGCTTTAATGGCACTATACGCGGCTTTTAATTAGCCGAGAGTGTGAAAAAATGAAAAGAAAACTAGAAGAGCAACAAGATAAAACCAAGAGCATGCCGCAAATGCAACACTTTATATGCAGTTTTCTTTTAATTTTCATTTTTATATGCGGAGGCTGCGACGATGACGTTGCTCAGCCTGCAAATGTAGGTTGGCATTTCTTGTGCCGCACTCTCCCCCTCTCCCACTCCCTATCTTCCGTTTGCCGCGGCACTGTCATTGCCACATTCCCTTGCACGGAAGTGGATGTTGGCAAGGATGTGCCCCACTGAATTTGCCAGGCTTTCGCTATTGTGTTAGTGTAAGTGCAAGCGCATATAACTTGTAATTAGAGTGGAAAAAACACGCAATTACCATTATGCACGCCGAATTTCTCTTTACGATTGGGGCGCACACTAAAAGCCATGTAACAGTAGCAACAACAATGACATCCAGAACAACAACTGCGAAATAAACTGCAGCGATTATACTGGCTTTGTCTCTCAGTTGACCTCAATTTATTTTAAATCCAAGGCGTTTAGCTAAAAACACGCGCACCAGACTGTCAGGATATTGTATTATTTGCAACAGCTTTTCTCCTTTCTCTTTCTAATGCAGTAGTCCGCCCGGTCTGCCGTGTCCTTTTCCTGGGCAGTCCTTACAAAGACCTCAGCTCTTTGTAAGTAGGCATATTGTATTTGTATTCATTACAATTGTAAAAAGTGAACTAGTGTATTTCATTTGTGTAATGTCAGACCTGCTGTCCTTTCGTCTGCCCACACGTCAAATTGTATTCAATTGCGCCTCTAACAAATTTAAAGATCTTTATTTTTATTCATCTCTAAAATATATTGCAAGTTGCTTGGTTGCCAGTCTGTTAATATTCTTCATAGATAGGTCATTGACTCGGCTCAAGAATTTTACTCTACATATTTATATCCATCAGCTTGTGCTTTGTTTGATATATGTGTTCAACTGAATAATGGTCAAGTCATAGTCCATAACTAGCAAAAACGAATCATTCAATGTGAAGATGCTACTGACATTTATATGGATTTAGTTGCTGATGATTGCTGGTCAAGCCCAGAAGTGCTGCAATGAACTCCGGCAAGCCGAAGGTCAAGTTGTGACTGACATTTATGGGGCTAGAATATGCCGGAAAATGGTGACATTTCGCATTCTACATTCCACATACTTAACAATTCAGCACATGGCTTCGCTTATGCTGATACGCAATATTACAGGGCGAGCTTCAAGTGGCACCGAGAAGCTGTGCATAAAAATGTCTCAGTGTGGTCCAGAAATCGCACACAAAATCCACCGCAACTATTTTTTGGTCACATGCTGAGCAATAAAAGTGTCCTGGCTGGCCGGAGACACTTTTACTGTCCATGTCTATCCTATAAAAAGGGGCACATACGCTAAACCTATACCACATACACACACACACATACACATGATCCCACACATGAATGTTGAGGTTGAGGACACAGCTGCATGTCTGGCCAGGCTTACGTACTTAGGCAGAAAGGAGTAGCGGTAACAATTGGATGTGTGTGTGTTTTCCACTAGCTAGACTGACAATTTGGGTTACAAGAAATGTTGGTCAGCACAGTAGTTGCAACAAAACATTTGAGTGTCAACGGAGAGTTGGAAGGACCTGTGTCCTGCCGCCTGCTAAGCTGTTTTTGTGGGTTTTGCAACCGCATGGATAATATGTTAGCTAAAGTTTTTAGCCGCTTCCAGGGCAATAAAATTGCTTAAAAGACTTTGTGGCAACAAGCGAATATTGAGTGGCATTGAAAGCCAAAATAAGAGTGTATAATTAAGTTAAATAGCTAGAAGAAAAGAAAGAAAGAGAGTTCCTAGTGAGAAACTTTAGGCTTGGAATCTGTTATAATCATAAATAAAGAAATACCAAAAGGTTCGGCACAGGTAAAATTAAAAACCCTTGGGGACTAATTGCTTCTATAGGAGCCACACGACATACTGAACATTATGTTAGTCTCCAATTGAAATATGTGCAGTCAAACTATTTTTTGAAAAAAATAGCAAAAAGCAATTTATAAAATAATCGGCAATTGCAGGTGCTTCCATTTTACACGCAACATCATGTTTCTGCCTCTGTTTGGACAAAGTCTAGAGCGGCAGCACATTTCACCTGTTTCAAGTCGTAAATGTGCGAGCTTCAGTGTCCCCGTTTTATTTGCATATAAAACCCAGTATTAGCAGTCTTATTGCCATTGGCAAAACTCGACTTTATGGCACAATAATTATGCTAATTTCGAACAAAGTTGTGCGCGGCGTCGCCCGTGCTCGCTGCCTGTTGCCCTGTGGGCTGTTGTGTTAGCATTGCAAAATTATGAGTATAAAATCGAAAAAGTTTCAATCATCCATGTGCAGTTTGCGGCTTGGGTGAGTTACGCTCGCAAAGTTGCCAGTTGGCAGCTTTGAAGTTGCAACTTCAACGCCCAACATCGCTCAAAGTTGGACTCATTTCTGTGAAGCAATAAAACGCTTGAAATGTTTTTTAATATGCAATAACTTAACCCAAATCGTGCCCAGCCGAATAGCACTTGACCCAAACTTTTAAGCAGATAAAACCACGAGCCAGGCAACTTTGAGCGACAGGGGCTACAATCTCTGACTGATTGATTGATTAGAAGTGCTTAATTTTAGTTTCTGAGCTGTGTTCGAGCTGCATCTTAATCGCATTTCCGTGGAAACAAGAGTGTGGCACAATTTCTTAATTTCATGCAACCCAGTGCCACTCGAAGCGCCAAAGTTGCCACTTTATTATCCAGCCAACACAGGCGTTGCCATCCATTATAATTGAGTGCAAAATTATGCATTGAATTTGCCGAGCCATTGCCATGCGCTGCACTCGGCCCACTTCATCCAGCTGATAGTATCGTGTGCCCATAAAACAACTAATAGCTGGGCTACCCAGCTACCACTAGGCGGTAACAGTGGCCTGACCATGCTATAAGCACCACTGGCAGGCTGACGATAACACCGACGACATCAAAAACAATAACAACAACAGTTCCACAACAATGATGGTTAATAACTGCCAACAATGTGATAAGGCATATGCGGAGCGTGTGTGTGGTTGTGCATGTGCTTGATGTTAATCATAAGAATTGCTGAACATAATTTCAGTTTTATTTGAACTTTATTAAAGTTTCAGAATGCATTAGAGTTTAAATTGTGTTATATAAACATATCTGCAATGTTCTCGTTTTGAAACTCCTTTCAAAAAAACCAAATTATTACATGAGAATAACTTAGAAAACCAAGTGCTTAAGTACTTACATCCAATTCTCTGTATTTTTTCTTCTACATTTAGTTTGCTTTATTTCCATTTTAATGTTATTATGGAAAAAACTTTAATTTAACTTATATGAATATTTACAATGCTACTTATTCTTCTGTTAAACCTAACAGCGCAACAGGCAGAAGGAGACACCTCTATATGTTATATATCGCTTGGAACAAGCATTAATGTTACTCATCATTTGTAAGGGAAATGTCAACAACTTAAGCAAACATTAATGTAACACGGTTTTCGGTAGAACCCAGTCTACTGTGCTCATACTAAGATTTTGCGTTTTGATAATTTATGTTGCATACCTTCAGGAGAAAGACGGCCTTAAAGTTTTAAGGCAGCGCTGCGCCCTGGATGATAATCACAATGCAATTCATTTTGTAATGCTCCTCGGGGCATAATTTTTGGTAAATGCTAAAGATTAAGCAGCATTTGTGTCAAAAGCAAAGCAAAAAAGCAATAAAAAGTGGCCGCACACAAAGCCACAATAGAAGCGGGAAAAAAGGACTTAAGCATACACATTGTGAAAAGCGAAGAGGCAGATAGCAACGCGATGGGGCAGAGCAGGGCCGACGCGTTAACTAAGCCAACATTTACAAGCTCATTGCGCAATGCTTGTCGTTATTTTTTTTTTTTTTTATTATTATTAAGTTTAGCTTTATTTTAATTTTTCTGTTATTATCTGGAACAACTTAAATTAAATTTGTATGAATATTTACAATCTACTTATTCTACTGGTAAGTCTTATATACAAATTTACAGTGTCAACTATATAAATCGATCTGGGAGATCTATTGGGTGAGACCTTCGTAGTCTCCTCCGCGTTCGGAGTCCTCCAACTTGTCGTTATAAAATTGCAATTATATTTATTTCACTGCTGGCCGCTGGTAACGTTATTCAAGAATTCAAAGTTAAACACAGCTTATTTAACCAATTAGCTGACTGAAGACGCACAAATTTGCATGGCCAAGGAGCTGCAATTCAAAACTTCTGCCAGGTGAGTAAACGGTTAAGACTTCTTGCCAGCTGCTTGGCCGTTATTACAGCCGTAAAGTGCGCTACAATTTATTCAGTTTGCGAGTCGTTTTTGGCATTGTTATATTTATATTGTTTACTTTGCATTTTTGAGATTTACCAAAGATTTGCATTTTCAATTCGTGTTTTTCATCTCTTGATGTTTACTTTTTACGCTGATTGTACAGCTAAAGGCTTAGCGTTTGGCTTATGAAATACACTGCAGTCAAGGTGAGCTAAGATTGAGGTGATTGAATCTGTGATGTAATTTCATAAGCTCTGACTTGTATTCGGCTTCAATGTAGTGTATGTTCGTCTTTTGTACTATGCCCACTTTTCCCCACCTGCCACTTGACATTTCCATTCAAATGTGAAAACCAAATTGTTAAAAACTGAGCATCTATAGAAAATCTTAAGCTGGCCATGCCAATTGCTTGGATCTTATCGGCATTTGGAATACGAAGCCCTTTTTTGCCTTTCAGCTACTGCTGTTGCTGCTGGTATGTTCTGCTTTTGGGCCTAATGGCATTGTAAGCGCGTCTAAGCTGGTACATTTTGTTTACTATTTTCAAATGACATGGGCTTTCAAGAGGCCGCTCCCAATCCTCTCCAATTCTATCGTTTGGTATTAAGCATACAAATTGACATGTTATGCTAAAAATGAATTGCGTAATTTGATGGGATTGATTGGGGGAAACATACATAATATAATACATCACAAATTGCAATCCAGATCCGATAAAAGCACAACAAAAAATGTTCTTTTTGCCATTTTTGGTAGAATCTTGTTGTTGTTGTTAACCTGATGCCTATGTTGATTTTGTGAGATTGTTGCCAGCGTCCAGGCATGTCGGCATGTGTGTCTATGTTTGCTTGCTTGCTTGTGTGTGCTGCCACTTTGCTGCACTAAATTGCATTTAATTTTCAGATTTTTGTTGTGTTTGCGAGCTGCTGCATTTTTTTTTTGCCTCTGTTGCTGCTTTTTTGAATGTGCACGGCCTTCACCCAAATAAACCAGTAGCTGCTTATGTGTATTTAGACGTTCGAGTGTGTGTGTTCACAAGTGTTGATGTGCGCTTGCCTAAAATATATGTGAAAGAACAAAACATTCGCATACAAATATACTTTTCCACGCTGAATTCGAAAAATAGCACAGAAATTTGCATATTTCGCGTGGCTTTAAAGCTCGTGCCTATAAATGAAAGAAAAATACCAAAAAAATAATTAAAAATTCGTACATATTTTGATATGCTTGCAGTTTAAAAAAAAAATTACAGTTAAACCGAAGCTTAACATATTTAATTGCTGGGTACTTTCTGAAGTATACAATTTAGATAGTTCAATGAAGCCAGAATCCAAAATAAATATAAGTACTATTAGTATACCCTATTTACATATAATATGTGTGTATATTGAAGTTGTGTAAATGTATTAAATTCCAGAAGAAACCTTCAACGAAACATTAGGATTATATAATCCTGGGCAGCATTAATACAAAATCAACATAATTACAAATAATCGAAAGGTCCTTATCTTTCGAAACCAACAAAGAACATTTCTTATCCCTTGCTCACTCACACATTCCTGAGGGAGGTTCATATAAAAATACATACCACATTTACTTTTCGAGTTGCCTTTATCATTTATTTATTTGAAGCGTCCATAAGGTCTCTTTTTACAAATTTTCGGTTGGTGAAGGGTACAAAAATAGCCACAGAATTTCTAACGATTTCATTTCAATTAAACTAATTAATCTAAATTACTCTGCAGGTTCCCAACTCTGCCCACGAGTTTAAGGAAATGAGTTAAAAGTTGTAACGATAGTGCACTAGATTTTTAAGTTTACGGCTGTGAAGTACTTTAAGGGCGCGACTAGGGCAAACTCTATTTGATTTGAGTTGAGGTTGAGGTTGGGAGTATCTTAGCGCAGTTGACACATTTTTGTCATGCAGGACACGAACAAGTTTTCCACGGCGCCGCTTAAAAACTTTCCGAACGACTTGCAGAGAGGATTGCGCGAACTAAGCTCATCGCAAGGGCCAGTGCGGTGGCAGCGCGTGTTGTGGGTGTCTGGGATGCGGGACTTAGGCGGCGGTTACTCTGACGAGATTTGCATAAAATTAAGGCTTATTGTAACAGGATTCAGTGAATTGCGAGAAATATTAAACTTTATGTGCATATTGATGGGCCGGCGACAGCCTCTGCTCAAAGTCAAACTAAAAGCCAATCCTTTGACAAGGGTATCCTGAAATCCGCAATGTGTTTGCTTCAATTTTATTAGAGCAAATATTAGCGCAAGCCGATTTAATTTATGGCGACCTGTCTAAACAATAAATCAGGTTAGACAAAGACCTTAACAACAATGGCATTCGGTTTGATTATTCAATTGCAAAATTCAGACAGCGGCAATTTCCAGGAAATGCTTAGATGCATTGCCCAGATATCAGAGGGCAATAATGTCTGGGCGCATTGCAGCTCCAGCTGCATCCTTTGACTGGATAATGGCATTATAATTGCACAATAGCCGCACTTTGAGGTGCCATTCGGTGTTCCAAAATTTATGTGCCCAGTAGAAATACGCTAACAGAGATGCAAAAGCTGCAAAGCTCCAAAGAAACCACGTTCGTTTCTCTATTAAAAATGAATTATATACAAAGTATGAAAAAATTGTATTGGGGTTACGTATTAAGCCATAAATTTTCCAACAAAACTGACTTTATGGCACAAGCACCGAAACGGGAGGTGGGGCTGGGTGCCAAACAGGCCAAACAGGCAACAGGTGCAGCGCGTGCCTCGAGCGTCGGCTTCGGATACTGTTGATTTCAGCTATGGTTCTGGCTTCCGGGAGGCATTCACTGTCCAGAGGCTGGCCCTTGTCTGTTGTTTAATGTATGCCCCTTCACATGACTCGCCCCAAACAATAAATCACACAAAAATGTTGTGCCCTTCGTTTATCTTTTTTTGCATTAAAATTTACAACCTACTAAACAAGGCAACGCAACCAAGACTTGACGGGTGCACGCGCAAGTTTCCCTACATGAATAATTATGAATAATTTTAGCATATATCTTTTAGCTGTGGAACTTTAAATCAATACTGGACTCGCCGGGAATAGCGATACGGTCTTCCACGAGTAGCCATGTCTAATTAAGCCGACTTGGGTAAAACCAATTAGACAAATCAGTTGAGCAGCAGTTGTTGTTGCTGAACAATTACTGTATTCGTAAACAAGACGGCAGGAAGTTAGATGCCTTGCGCCAAGGACCCTTTCTTAAATTAATTGTGCGATATTGAGTTATTGGCACTCGAGACTATCAGGAAAAATTTGTAGGCTTGCCTTTGCATTCATGAAGTGCCATCCAATGCTGCCCACTGTGAACCCTATTGGCATTCGCTTCGCCCTCGAAACTCAAAGAGAATTGGAAACGGAAACGTAGATGTTGTCAATTCAGGCAGTCAAGCGTTAACAACGACAACCAAAAAAAAAAAACAACAACAGCAACAACGAAGGCTATGACGGCACTTCGATGGTTACATGGGATCGAAAATTATCCGTGAAAGACGATTTTGTTTCTCTAAGTGTTTTGCGGCTAAATTGTGGCCGAATTAAGAATATGTCAAATGCTTGAATGAATAGACTAAGATCTTAAAAAAGCTAAAAAAATGGGAAATGTCTTCTATCACAATAAAACGCATGCAAACTAGGTTTAACGATACGAGATACTTCGATGTACGAATTTATTTGTTAGATTTTCGCGTGTATTTGTAACCTAGTAAGAATTATCTGGATTTTATCTGCAATGTATTAATTTGTTCAATGAAGTATTTTACTCTCCAAACGGGTTGAAGGTTGTACGGCCAAAAGTAACTTTTAATTAAATATTAATACAGACACGTTTCAACCTTTTCCGAATTTGAGCCCCACGCCAGTAAAAGGTGGTCCGCTCTTGTATAATCGACATCTTAGCTTTCAGCCAAGCAGCTGCCAACTTAAATTAAAAGATTTGCATCAAGAATTAATCAATACGGGATTTTCTTGGAGAAGCCAGTTCTTGCTAAGTGTATACATGGACGTCCCAAACAGGGTATCTTTACGACCAGCTCTCTCAACCAGAGGTGTCTTTGATGTTTCAACTGTCGTTTAAACTCAATTAATTGACGATTGTTATATTTAGAATGACTACCAATAACTGACGTACTTGCTTATTCATCTATTTAAAACAGAAGTTTGAAACTGCAAATGTAAACCAATTGACAACTGCTTTGGAATTGCAAGCCCAAAGCACATCGACTGATTCAGCTGTGCCCCAGTGGCTGCCTTTTTCTATAAAACGGCCTAGTATGGAGCTTTTGTGTTACTGTTGCATCGAGTTAGTGTATCAACATGAATGTTTTGCTTTTGTTCTCACCAATGTTGTGCTTGCTGCTTGCAGTTGCCCAGGAGCTGCCAACTACAGGCCCCAAGAATCCTTTTTGCGTGCAGCATCTCTGTCCTAGGGGCAAGCGTCATGTGGCCTGCGAGAAGCCACCAATCGTGAGTATTGCACTTTACGTACTGGTCAACAGTTTAATATTCGCATCAATTCCAGGACATCAACAAATCCTGTAATATTCAGCAGAGCCAGCTAGTGAATTTGACCGACTACTCGAATAATATTCTTAAGGCGCACAACGAGCACCGCCAGCGCTTGGGCAACGGCAAGAATATGACTCTGCCACGAGCTGCGCGCTTGGTTGTGATGCAGTGGAGCGAGGAGTTGGCATTGATGGCTAGCTACAATGTACGCCTGTGTCGGGCTAAGCACGACGACTGCCACAACACGGCTAACTACAAGAACTCTGGTCAAAACATTATTGTAAGTGGGGATTATATCTCAAAGTCTTCTTAATCAGTAATATCCGATTTCTGTAGGTGTTCAACATGACGCGTTTGGTGGAAGATGAGCTGATGGAAAAGATGTATCCGCAGTTAATCGTCATCGGCGCTCGCACTTGGTGGTCCGAGCACAACAACAGCAGCAAGATGATGACCGCAGCAGATGTGGAACACAATCCATGCTCCGTCAAGAAGCCCAACCAGCATCAGTAAGTAGCCAATTGCTATTTTTCGGGGAGTAATTATCTGCTACAAAAATCCGTTTTGCAATCGCCACTCCACTTACTCCGACAGACCCTTTCGTCACTTTGCGGTGATGGCCGTGGAGAACAACACTCATGTTGGCTGCGCTGGGCTGCGATATGTGTCCAAAGAAAAAACCTACTTCAAGCTGACCTGCAACTATGCTGAGAACTATATGTGCGGCAGGCCGATCTATCATTTCCGTGCCGTGGGCTGTCTGACTGGATCCAACACACAATATAAAGGACTCTGTTCCAAAAAGGAAGTATTTGCTTAAATACGGAACTATTTAAATAGCCATATTTCACACTATATATAACCCCTAAATACCCCTGTCAAGCCACAAATAAAATCCAATGATCATCCGCTTGGTATGTATAATTGTAAAATTAACGCCATGCATATTTATCTCATTTGAATTGGCGATTTCTATGGCGCGTGCCGTGCTTTCATTCGCAATAGATAAATTCCGCATAACAAAAGCCACTGCGACGGTCTTTCTGCAAAATGAAATCATTACGCATGCAAAATTCAAATGGCGCAGCATCAAAATGGAATTTCTGCAAATTTCCTGCCCATTGCAATAAACTTTGCACGCAGCACAGCTGGTGGGGATACCCTGAAATGAGGACTAGTGAGGCAGGGGGTCTGGATATGAGTATGAGCATTGGAATGTCTATCAGGAAACGGGGAATTGGCGCTGTTGTATGCTGAAGCAATTACCTGGACGAAAGCGTCCAGCCAGTCAATATGATGTGCATAGGAAGAGGAAATTTATGATTGCATAATTGTGTGGAATTCCAAAGGATTTGAAAGAGAGACAGTTAGAGGCAGAGACATTATAATTTTGAAAATGATATGCATAGTAAAACAAATTTATAGCATATGCAGTGGGTCATAGGGGCAGCTGCAGTTGGTGCTTACACAAATTTAAAACTAAAATTTAATATAATCTTATTTAGCTTTTATACATTTTTTATTATTTATAATCTATTTTCAATACTAACCCAATTTGGACAACTGCATTATTATTTTCTACAATTTTTTTAGGCCAGGGACATTACTAGAGGAGTCAAAAGTAAAGTCAAACGTAACGCGTTTAATACATAACATTAAAAATTAAAGGCAGTGGATCATTTAATAAAACGCGCGATTATCTATGGTCCAATGAACTACACAAATGCTTACCCACTGATGTATTTACTGTGCAGCCTCTTTTTCATTTTTTTTTAGAATCTCTGAATTGATTAATTAAGCCGTTAAGAGCAATCCGATTAGCGCTTGAATCGCATTTTCATTTCATTATATTATGCGACTTCATTTGATTGAAATGCATGTGAAATGCGCTTCAGTTAAGTGCGAGATTAACTGAGAGCGAACCAAAAACAAAAAGCGAACATGATGCGAGCTCTGACTTTTAAATCGCCTTTTGCTGAGCCAGTGAAAAGCGCATTTGGATTGCATTTGACTTACCCTCTAGAGAGGTTTCTTGAACTATCTCTCTCGCTTTCCCTCAACTGCTCACCTTATTGCTTTGCCGTATACTGTCAGCACCTGGAAAAACTAAAAGTCGCCACTTCCGCAGCACATAAATTCGAAGCGCTGCTCGTTTTAAAGGTTTCCTGCAGTCCAAATAAAAAAGCACTGCACTTCGTATTCGACTTAAAAATACTCTTTGCTTAGGTTTTCTTTTTCAACCTTATTGTATTATTAATTTGTCAGGCTAAGCTTTAATCGTATTGAAAACCTGTTATCAAATTAATGGGCACTATTTAGAGTACATATGGATATTAGAAATTTGCTTAGAGATATAATTTGGTGGTATGAGGTATATGCAACAGTCTGTGACTCGCCTAGGTAGAAAGAGTAACAATATGGTTTGTGTACATTTTCAGTTGCTTTAACTATTAAAGTACTAACAACCTTATATAGTAACATACATGATGGGTATAACAACAACAAAAGTCGGATAAAAAGAAATTCCTAACAGTCTTCGGGCAACTACACCAAAATATGTATGCCAAGGTGCTGTTGTTTTGTTTAGGCCACCATTTGTTTGGCTTTGGTATGGATACATTTGTTGCACTTGTAATGTTAAAGCGCCTCAAGAAACGGCTTTTACTTTGCTTGGCCACTAATAGTTTAACAATTTATCATAATTTATGATCAACTACAAATGCTGCTTATTTGAAGATCTCCCCCAACTTTCACTTGCACATACGCACACCCAAACACACATAAATATCTATTAAAGTTTTGCAGTCAGATGCAAGTGAAGATTTACGAGTCTTGTAGGGCAGCTTTTGATAATGGTGCATTAGTGTGCAACGCTTTAGAATGCACTTTTGTCTACTCACAACTCGGTATGCAGTGGGGTGAAGTTGGGGGACTGTTAGCATTAGAGAACGTCTGTCAACCATAAGTCTCAACTCTGCTCATCTCCCGCTGGTCTTTCTCGCAAAGCCATTAAGACATTCAACCAACATCATTATCATTGTAGAGCAACACATCACGTTTATAAGCCTGCTTGCATGTCCGCTGAGCGCTCTCGGTGGTTTCCTTTTGCATTTGGGCTCTGACCCACACAACTCACTTTACGTATACGTAATGCGTAAAACGTAAAGCTGGCGCTGAAGCGAGCTTTTTGCCGACCACTTGGCCCCATTTGCTTTTTATCGCCTGCAGCCAGCGGGTATTGAAGAGTGTATAAAATTTAATGGAGCAAACTCATTCGAGCCCATGGAACATTTACACTGCTGATTAGCGTTGAAACCCTCCTTCAGGACCATTCAAAATAAAGTCCACTTCGGGTTCTATTAATACTTAAATAAAGAAGAAAGGCACCTAACTGGGAATATTATAAAAATGATGTTCAATTAATGACAGGTTTATAATACTTCTTTTTGCTCTATAAAGTATTCATATTTTTTGCATTCTCAGGTTCATTTGAAGAACATTTGAAGGTCTGGTCGAAAGCTGCCTATGTTTTTATGAGCAACTTCATGATGGCGTAAGGTTTACGTTTATTAACATACTTCTAGGCGCAAGGTGCGTATAATAGCACACACGGACATCTAGTTGTTGACGGCTTTTTATGACTTCATTAGATAGGCATTTACGAGATTGTGTGCCTCTCTTTCTTTGCATCGCTCTACGTCTTTCCCTTCACTTCTTTCTTTATGCAGCCATTGAAAGCCAATTGATTTCACATAAAATTCTGTTTGGGAAAACAATGGAACAGCTAAGAGAGCCCACAGCTAAAATCTAATGAAATTTATGCAGGCGCTGCAATGCGGCTGCACATGAATGGCAACTACAGGACATGTAGACCTCACACATACACAGATATACATGCACTACATGGCGGTAACTTTTACCTGTCGTTGGCCGCAATTTACAATGCGGCGCCATTTGGTTTGTGTGTGTGAATTTTTGTGTGCTTGCTGCTGACCTACTTCAGGGGCACAGGACGCGGCGCGCTTTCACTTTAGCTATGGAACTGGGCTTCGTCTATGGCTTCGAACATTTTATGAACACTTTGGGGCCGCGTTTGTCTTGGCTCTTAGTTAAAACTGCATTGATGGCCAACTGGAGTCCGTCCGCAGCCGCATGCACGACCCTCCAACTCCGGCTTCGTCCTTGCTGAGTGCGCGCGCATGTGGAAGTAACAGTTTAACGCTTAAACATGCCCAAGCTTCGCTCAACTCAAGTGCACAATAATACACGTACACACGCACATATAGCACATGCAGCACATGTAGTGCATGTCTGTGTGTGTTTGGTTTTTACTTTTGCAAGCTAAATTTTCGCATAATTCGCAAGGCACTTGTGAAGTTTTTGGGATAACAAATACAATTTGTACTGCACCCAAATAGTTAAAGAAAAAACAGAAACATTCAAAAAGAGGCAGCTGTTATAGCTGCTCCTTAAAATGAGAGAAAAAGATAGTAGACTGCTAAAGCTGGATATAGAAAAGGCTGCGGTGCTGGTCTTAGGTGTCAGTCGCTTGCCAACAGGAAGGAAGCTTTTCAAATGCCAAATGATAAATGCATTTTTAATGGAGCGCCGGTGAAGAGAGGCGAGGGGAGCCAAAGGCAGACAGTGTCTGAGTTTAACAAACAACTTCCTTGGCGTTGCTGCTGAAAGCCTGGCTAAACGGCAGGATGCGCAAACGAGCGCCTCTAAGCGTCTCCTAATGGGTAGCCCAAAGCCGCGTGTTGGCCAGCTGAGAGCCGTGAGTGGTGAGTCCACAATCTGCCCAGCAAAAATGATTTAGTCAATGTTTTATTCTTTCGTCATTTAACTTTAAACTCAGCACATTTGCGCTTAATTATACACGCAGCTATGAAAAAAAAAAACACCACACTTTTCAACAAATAACAGTTACGTGTTTAATAGATTCCTTGAAAGTTCGACCCCACAATTGGCGCATTTGTTTGAGCTTTCATATGAACAACCAACATTAAATGCAAGCTTGCAATTGTTTGACATTTCAATTTTGCCTTTTGCTGTTCTTTGTTTCGAGACAGCGTTTCAGTTTAATCAATATTCCAAACACAAACGCCGCTCACAAACATTTCATACGGCAAACCCTCCCCGAATTCGGCTCCAAAATTGTGGCTAAACATAACTAAATACCGCACACATACAATCATTTATATACACACACACTCGCATATAAATACTCTTATAAAAGCGTAATATAGATTGATAGAAAAGGAAAGAAAGCCCCCAACAAAGGTATTGGACGTGCGCGCCTAAAAGCATTCCACGCAAATTGAAAATACTCGTAAATGCTAGTGGAATAAAAACGCCCGAATAACCATATTAATTTACTAAGTTCTGATAATGTGTGAATATACATATATATGTGCATAGATATACACATGCACATTGTACAAAATTAAAAAAAAAAAAAAAAACAGTAAAGCAACTTAGCTGTAAATTTAAGAAACTTAAATGAAAATTGCAGGTCTGAAGTAACAGTTCACTGTATTCATTTGTATGTACGTGCACTTTAAAGCAAGTTGCTCCATTAAGTATGATAGGAGTGAGATAGTTATTGATATTACAGGGCCATCCCGGTAACCTGTCGGCCACAGTAATCAATTCAAATTGAAGGCAAGTTTTCCGCTGTGGTTCAAAATTTATGAGCAGCTGGTAACCACGTTTAATAGAAAGACGTACAAAGCCTCAACAGAGGACCGACATTACCTTGAAGCGTTTTACGGAAAATGAGCAAGTGTCATGAAGTATAGGAGGGTGTGAACACCCACTGAACCAAACCAAATAAACGATAAATTGGGCTACTCGTGTGCCATAAAGGAACGATAGCTGTGTAGATTAAATATAATTTTGAAATTGCTATAAAATTATTCGTTCGTAAAAT